CTCCCTTCCTTCCTTCCTCCCTTCCTTCCTTCTTTTCTTCCTTTCTCCCTTCCTTCCTTCTGCCATTCAATCGTCTTGACTTAACAACAACAAAAAGGGGCAACAAATTCTAAAGACAGCTAAAGGAAGCTCAAATGTGTGCTTTTTAAACAGAGTTTTCAGTAGGAAATAGGATGGCACAGTGGTTGAGAACCGCGGAGGTAGAGCAGGTGACTCTGAGCCCTGGCGCCTTAGCTCCATTCAAGTCACTTAGCCTCGGACAGCCTGCCTTTCTTCATCTTTAAGGTGCAAATAAGAAACTGTACCAAATCGGATGGTTAGGTGGCTTAAATGAGAAAAAGCCACGTGAGAAACGCAAGACCTGACACACAGTAGGCGTTCAATGGATGTTCAGCAAGTATTGCTTTGACTTAGAGAGGATCCACTGGAATTTCTTTAGGTCTTCTGTAACTTTCTAGAAGTCCACTTTCATATCCAGTAACCCCAGTGGGACAAAGAGAAAGTGGATTTCGGTTTATTTCGGGGAGGCAATGACAAATTAGCCAAGCCTCACTCAGGTGATAGAATTGGAAATATTCTCTGAAGGACCTCCTGAGGGTAAATGTAGTAGAAGTGTTCTCTTTGTGGGGAATAAAAGAAAAAAAATAGACTCATCTTTCTCAGCAGAAAGCGTATCACGAGGAAGACCAAAAATTAAACTGCTTTCAAGCTCTTGCAGATTTCAATAGCTTGGACCCTGTGGTCTTCTTTAGGATGGTGGTATTTATCCCTTGGTGTGCAGGTATACCATTAAACTTGCATAAAATTTGCCCCAAGAGAGACTCACTGGGTCAGGATCTCTAGAGGTGAGGCCCATGCATCTGAAATTTTTAAAGCTCCAGAGGTGATTTGCACACACTGCAGCCTGGAAACCACTTCTCAGCATCTCCGAGAGATTTAATTGAGATATGGAGATACGCAACAAGGTTTGTGACTATTATCTACAAAGGAGATGCACATGGGTGGCAGGGATGACAAATCATTTAGTGGAAACGGGCACCGGACTCAAGAGTCCGTGATCCTCTTGTTCAGCTCTCCTGCTGAGCAATCATTGATTAATTCACTAGTGTCCTCCTTTGTTCTTCTATACCTTCGACAAGGGTTCAAGGGGTCGCTTTGTGCAGAGGACAACTACCCTACCACATGGGCACCAAGATGGCCCCATTTTCCAGTGCTTATGGCGAAGACAAAGAAGTCCATGGCATGGTTCTTTTCTCTGACAACATTAAATTAACATGACTCTGACCTTAGTTCTTAGGGTTGCTGTACCCAGGATGCCATGGGGCCTGTGAGGGGGCATGCTGAGAGCGCGGTGGGGGGGGATCTCATCAACATCGGAGGGACCTAATTATAAGAAAATACCGACACAAACAGGGGGCAGAGAGAAACAAAAAGGGGGTGAGGGAAATCAACCTTACATTTAGCATGTACTGCTGGTAGGAAAACAGGTCAAACTAGGGGGGTAAAATAGAATTTTCACCAAGTTAGCGGTAGTAAATTTTCTTGGGTTTTGGTCACAAAATTCGTAAACAGTACGTTTTCTGGTCTGGTGGTGGACGAAGAACATCTAACAAACTGTCACAAGAAAGACTGTAGGAGAATTTTCGTGCGCTCCAAGGACTGTGGTCGCCCCCTTGTGGAACAGTTTGAGAACTAGTGAGACAGAAGAAGTGTATTTGAGTACACCTTGAATAGACACCTCACAGACATTTCAGTGGAGTGAATTAGGATCAAGGCTTGGCGTATTTCATAACACATTTGAGGAGGCTCACATAAGATGTTATGAACCAAAGCTGAGCTGACCTAAGAGTTCGTGTCTTACGGATCGTGTTGGAATTCGGGAACGTGTGCTGAGCTATCCCAGGGACTGGAACCTCTAACTGGTGTAGAGTGAGAGTGGGCTTTGCCTTCTCCAGGACTGACCACTGTGCTCCAAGGAGCACTCAATGAACCTGAACTTCGGGTTGTTTTTTCATCTGAAACAAACAAACAAACAAACAAACAAACCGCAAGGGTTGTCAGGAAGACCAAAGAATGCAACAGATATGAAAACATTTCAAAAGAGAAAGGTGAAGGATTATTACATTATGTGCTTTAATTAGCGCCTGATTCGCTTACAGCCCCGTTCAGTCGTCAGGACAGACGCTCTGAGCCTCCACTGCCTCAATTCTAGTGGGAGGTCCCAAGGCGTTCTCTCGAAGGGAGGGCATTGGGATGAAATTTTGAGAGAAACTAAAATTTTAAAAGAGAGAGATCTCATCTCAGAAGTTTTGAGAGAAATTTGGAGAGAAACTAAAAATTCTGAGAGAAATTTGGTCACTTTCTATGAATTTGGGGAAATGGGCAAAAATGAGGAGATTTCTACCTTATTTACAGGAAAGGTGGAAACTGAAGATCGTTGTTTCAGGAGCCCCTGGAAATACCCATGAACTAGACTCAGAGAATCTTTTCCATAAGTTTTTCTTTGTTGGTGTATGACCCTGCTCTTGTTTTAGTAACTTAAATCGTCATGCTTATAATAGAGATATTTTTACCCCCACATCTAGGACAAAACTTAAACAGAACTGTTCGTTTGCAATTGAAACCAAGGACAGGAACAGTGATACCTGAGTTTTGATTTTCAAGATTCCATACATAACCTGAAAAGAGGTGTTGTAACGGCAGAAGGATGGTCTAACAACTTCTGCAGACTGGTTCACACCCAATCTCGTCCAGCCTCCCTCGGGGGCCCCTTCGGTACTGCAGGGAGTAGGGACGGGAGATGTCTGTTAATGGGCATGTGATGGTTCATTTTCTGTGCCAACGTGGGTGCACCATGGTGGTGCCCAGGTATGTGTCCGAACATTATTCTGGATGTGTCTGTGAGGGTGTTGGTGGATGAGATTACCCTTTAAGTCCAAAGCGGATCGTCCTCCATAACGTGGGACAGAGGCGGGGTGCGAGGCAGGCTGTGTGCTGGCTCAGACACGGCCGGGACCTTGAACTCCCAGAGCTGCCGCTGGAATGATGACAGGACCGCAGCTCTCTGGTGGCCCAATTCCGCGTTGTGACTTTGGGAGTCGTTCCTGGAAACTCCACTTAGAGTTTCTTCAATTTCTCCCACCTTCCCAACGATCCTGGGAGTCATTTATCGCCCTGTAATCAAGCCTTCTCTGCTTGGACTGCTGCCCTTGGCAAGTGAACCCTGACCAACTTGGCACGTTGGTCATTTTAGCTCCTGGAAGTGCTATTGTTAGCGGAACACCGGAGGGGGGTCAGTGGTCTCACAAAGAACTTTTATGAAGGCCCATCGTGTGAGGGAAATGAAGCTGGAGCTCGGAGGAGACAGAAACTCCACGCCTGAGAGGAGCTCTGCCCAAACTGGATCTCATCTCTACTCAGCATCTTCCCCAAACACCACCAGGAAGAACCCTGGCGTCCCCCTCTTTCCACTGCAGACCGTAGGAGTAGCGTTCCCACGGTGGCATCCCAGACAAAATTCACTGGGTAACAAAGTAAAAAGGGAAGGGAACAGAGCTGCTAAACCAACACTCGTAGGCTTGGCCCATCAAAAAGTCCCCATAGGGCGCCTGGGTGGCTCAGTTGGTTAAGCGACTGCCTTCGGCTCAGGTCATGATCCTGGAGTCCCGGGATCGAGTCCCACATCGGGCTCCCTGCTCAGCGGGGAGTCTGCTTCTCCCTCTGACCCTCCTCCCTCTCGTGCTCTCTATCTCTCATTCTCTCTCTCAAATAAATAAATAAATAAAATCTTTAAAAAAAAAAAAAAGTCCCCATAGGTGGGTCTCCACTGTGGAAAATGTGGCTTCTCTTTCCCTGGCTTAAAGAAATTCAAAGGCTTTCTATTGGCAGTTCTTTAATGGCAATCCCATTTTATTGAAACGATCCAGTCTTTTCCCATTATTCTTTGGCTGAAGAACACAGGCACCATGATTTCCCAGCAGTGAAGGCATGGTCTTTGCCCTCATGGAGAGAACAGTCTGCAAAGTACTGAGGATTTTAGGAGGCCACAGTGTTATTTTCTTCTACCATCTGACTCACTCTGCCATGTTTTCATAGCTTTTTACAACAGACAGATAATGAATAAAATCCATATTATTTTTCAGGGTTCCACCGGAAGTAACTTCATTCCCAGGGCTATTGGTCTATTCTAGCAGATGGATGATAAAGACCAGCCCAGCAAGTCCCAACCACTAGGATTGGCTAGGAAGTGCACAGGACACAGTGTCCCTCACTTAGGCATCAGGGCATGAGCATCCTTCTGCTCTCCCTCATATATCACGAGTCCTTTGAAGTTATAACCTCCAGCAAGGTACGCCTCAGCAGCCAGAGAGATCCCTTCAAGATCCAAACCTGGTATGTCACCATTCCATCCAGAATGATTCCTGTAAGGCGCACCATGCTTTGACTCCTGCTCTTCTTTCTTCTCTGGTCTTGCACCAAACTGCCTCTCCCACCCTGTGCACACCACCTGCTTCTCACCCCCTCACCCACCTTCACATCCTAAGCCCAGAGCCCGCCCCCACCATCCCATGACCCAAAGCACCCACCACCCTTCTCCTTCACAACACTTGTCATGGGTACAATTTTACATTTGGTCATGACAATTCTTTGATTAACATCTTTCTCCTGAAGTGAGCTCCACGAATAGGAATCAGGTCTTACTGTTGCAACTCATTCCATCCTTGTACCCAGCATATTGCCCAGCATGTAGTAGGTCCTAAGGAGAGACTTGTTGAATGAATGAATGAATGAATGAATGAATTGTAAAATAGACGAGTGCTGAGTAATTGGTTATACCTAGAAATAAACAGAAAAGGATGGGGCCTAGCATAGAACAGGGCAGGAGGATCAGATGTCTGCGCTTTTCACAAATTGAGAAGCTGAGCAGAGACTAATTTCTGTATGTTCCAAACCCAGCACAGCATCTGGCAGGTAGTGGTAGGTCCCAACCAATGTCTGTCGAACTGAACGCTTGTCTCATTTCTGACAACCACTGAATCTTCAATAGCTTTCAAAGAAACTGACCAATGCACTTTCCTAGATCAAAGGCAAAGTGCAATGCAGCATATCCAGTGAAAATGGATTGAGCTCTTTTCCTAAAGATGTGTTCATTTAATGTTAAATGCTATTAGCCAAATAAATAAGAATTGAGGAAAAGGAAAAGCTTATCACCATGACATCAGGTTTTCCTCCTTAAAAAGTGCCATGGTGGCAAAGAAAGACCAAACACCAATTGTATATTCACTTAGCACTTGTTGATTGCCAACAAGAGCCAATTAGTGACAGTTAAATACATTATCTATATTTATTTATATGCACAATTCAATTACTTTTGGTTACAAGGACAATGGCGTGTTTTAGAGACAGAGTCTGTATGTGCAGAGAACAGGGTCCTGTTCTGTAAGATCTGTTGGGGAAATGTCAGCAAAGTGTATGAAAAGAGCTCCTATTACTCCTTTTGAGTCCTCAGAGAACCAAGAAATATGTTTCCTTAAAAGCCATAATCACGGTGCACCACCAGAGTCTACACTGCCCTGTTCTACCTCAGACATTTGCAAATGCATTCAATTTTATGCCATTCGCGTGGGCAGACATTTAGGAAAGAATGAGAGAGGAACATAAAATACATATTATGTTCTTTATACATTGTGACGTTGGCCCCAATGACTTCAATGAAGGAATGAAGTGACAATATTTATATTTTACTTGCTTTCACCATAATTCTGATCATAAGTAATAAGGCCATTTTATTTTCATAAAATGAGGAAATTATGCAGAGCTTGAGAGACACCCGGGGATGAATCAGCCAGACTGTGGATCAACTAGATATCTGGCCGACGTCGATTTACCCAAACCAACAGCATTTTACAAATAAGCTGAAGTTCAAGTCAGGAACTATTTCTGCAGTAGTTTTGTGCTTTGAGGGGGTAAATGTTAGGTTTATCTCAGTTGACTTTCACGTGTAGCCAGGAATAAGAACAGCTTCTTTTGTGTGAGAGGTTATATTATAAACTAAGAAAAAAGGCCTCACACATGGGTCATGTTTAGGATATTCAGGAGCGAAAAGCAGTATGATTACCATCCATTAAGAGAAACTGGTAGAACTCTTTCCATCCACAGTGAAAGTGGTCAAATCTGACCAGCTCTCCACAGAAGTCTTTCTTCCTTTGGTTCCTTAAAATGTTCCAGGAGAGGAGAAGGAAAAAGAAAAGTCAGAATTCCACCACAATGTTTTCGGATTCACCGAGATGGGAAAAGTCGTTGACAAGATGTAAAGGCAGAAGCCTTGAACCTGTCCTAACTTGGGAGAGTATTTTTTCTTATTGTTATTAATCACAAGATCAAAACCTTTGAAGTAATCTTCATTCCCCCCCCCCCCTGCCTTGGGGGGGGCATTTATACAACCTCCCACGTCATGGGGGGTCTTCCTGGGGCCTGATCAGTTGCAGCAAAAAATGTGAAACCTGTGGCATCGTCATCGAGCGAGCTCATTGTATCCAAACCAATCCAGAAAACAACAAATCTGTGGTTGGGGGGAGGGGATCCTTTTTTAAAAAGCAGATAGGACTAGGTGGAGCTGGTCGTAATTAATCATTCTTATTTTTAAAGTGGCTTATTCAGGGCAAGTATACAAACCTCAAGGATGCATAGATCACTGTATGTGTGTAAGACTTGTAGAGAAATTTAAAAGAGCATTTTCTAATGTGACTTCCAGTTGAATATTTAGACTCAACAAAAGGGCCCGAGCTCTGTTCGGGCCCATCTTCCAGAGGAAAAAAAAAAAAAACAAGAAGAAACCAGAGAGGGAGACAAACCATGAGAGACTCTTAATCACAAGAAACAAACTGAGGGTTGCTGGAGGGGAGCGGGGTGGAGGGATGGGGTAACTGGGTGATGGGCATGAAGGAGGGCATGTGATGCAATGAGCGCTGGGTGTTATAGAAGACTGATGAATCACTGAACCAATAATACATGA